ATAACCTCTACTACCACAGAGCCAGTGTTAGAGAATTCTGGGGTTTTCGGTCTCTGTGTTGTTACCTATAATATACTTTTATCCAAACCCGTATGAATGTTTCAAAACAACACATTCAGCCCAAAATTACGACTCTTTTCCTTGTGTTTAGCCCAAGAGTGTGAACGAACTAGGGCAGCCCACAAATCATATAATAGCTGCGCCAAGGTAGAAAATCTGAGAACATAATGTTGCTCACCGGAACGCGTATTGGTTATCTCTGACGTTCCAGAGAGCTTGACAAACTCTCCATTGTCAAAGCTTCGACTGTCACTATGAGGCCATAATTTGAAGGTCTGGCTGAACTTATCGACCTTAGGCTGTTTTCTACTAAATACAGCGGGAGTTATCACAAATTGGTATTTTGCCTAAGCAGAGGTCAACTAGTGCGTAAAGAAGAAACACCAATGTAGTAAATGCGGAATGCTAATTGTGTATATGTTCAGTCAGAAATCATACAATTCGAAAAGCAACGAACGCCAATCCGACAACAAAGATGACGACAGAGCTGGGGGCGGCGCCTCCAATTTGCGGGAACCAGAATCTCTTTAAATTCCTCCATCTTCAGTTCCTCCTCGCCGACCTTGGAACTCTCCACCTGCTCCTCGTCCTCCTCATCCTCCGGGCCCAATTTCGGGTCACCACCCCTCGCAGCATACTCATTCTGCAATTCCAGAGTCTGGTAGTTCGGTGACGTCTGGCATAAAAGTGCCCGCGCAACAGCAAACAGCAGTAGTAACGAGAGGCTAGTCATAATGAAGATGTGTAGAAAGGGTGCCTTTTCTCTCCATCTGGAAGTTGAGTGTTCTCTTATTTATATATATATACCACCCTGTATGTGGGCGTGATTAAAATCACGTCTGAACCTCATTGTCCATATAAATATGCGGGCGTGATCGCTTACACGGTCCTGTCCAAGGTAACCTCCAAGTCTGCAATCGAAAGTGCACCTATAACGACTGTTTACGCGACGACTGCGTTGCAAACATTGCGTTGGCGGTATACATTCACTACCTCCCTGAAATGTTGAATGGTCAGCCATACACACATATCCGTTTGAGCACTAACAATAGATTCGTATACTTGGATCTGTCCTTGAATAATTCACTACTTTGACCGCCATAAATGCAGTGATAATTTTAGTCCGCCATTAACACGAATCAAACTACATTTACCAATTCAGTTGAAAAAAGGTTTTGAACCAGATTGCGTAACTGTTGGCCGACAAGGACACAGTTTGTTTGAGTAAAGTCCAGGCAGTCATACATGTTTCTTATTGCAGGCTGCAAAGTTTCCATGAATATCTGGATAGGTATGGGATACTCATTCTCCAGTAAGAGGTTTCGGGTTAGGATTAATAACTTAATGCTGAGTTGAAGAAAGCTATTTCAGGTAAAGTATTTATGGCCAGTTTTAGGACTCACATTATCTGACGCAAACACGCATAAGGGTTCAATGCTGACTATTTAGTCATGGATGAAA